CACGTAGTCAACCGCAGTTCACGTCCCGAACCCGGTGGCTTAAAACTCACGTCGGGCGAGTGTGCGTGCGTGCCCAAGATCCCGAGAGGAGAATGGAGGAGAAGGGATTGCAGCGTGACCATCCCCCCTGGGGGGTGATTTCTCGCTTTCTGTCTCTATGTCTCTCTCTGTCCGTCTGGCGAGCGCACGCGCCCTATAGCGAAAATCTCTCCAAAAACAGAAACAAAAAAAACTATGCACAGATTTTAATTTTATGTATCAAAATAAATGAACTCATATTTGATTCCATTTTGCCACAATCATTTTTAAGTCCCCTCATGTGTATGTGTATGTATTCTATTGGTTCAATTTCTCTGGAAACTCAGGCTAATACACAGGAAAATATGAACAATCAAAACCCTTAGTTATTGCACACAGACTCTCTTGTCTTTATTTTATTTTTAATTGACACATAATAATTGTCAATATCTGTATACAACCCATAATGATCAAATCAGAATAATGAACGTATTCGTCACCTCAGACATTTATCATTCCCTTGTGGATAGAATGTTCAAACTCCTCTCTCAAGCTATTTTGAAATACACAGTGCATCGCACAGACTTTCAATGTAGTCGAGTACATGACCTTGTCGCAAATAAAATGTTAATAAAGGCACAGTTGCAAAACAATAATGCAAGCAATGCCATGCTTTTATTTCATGGAATATTTCACTTCTATTAATTACATCCACTTTAAAGGCAGTGGCATGGTTGGACCCCATGAGAAAAGTCTTGAGGTCACATTCTAGGACCTTTCTGAGCACACTGCATGCCTGTGGTCCAGGCTGTCTGAGACCAGGGTTAGACTGCAGTGTGAGAACCCTCCGGGTGGTGCCTTTTTTCCCTGTTCCTCTCTCTCTCCTAAGAAATAATCATTTTTAAAATCTTGTTTAATTAATGTTTTTTTCCTTTAGAACTGTATTTAACAGTAAAGAACATCATAGACAATTCAGTACCTAAGTCCAGAATAATCAGTGAAGTGGGTTTCAAATGTTTACATCATAATATAAAGTTAAATATTGAAGGTGGTGAATATGTTTATAGCCTCAATTTGTTAATTATATCCTATATACTAAATGTCCATGAATAGATGAAAGGATTGAAAAAACTGTGACACAAATACTCTATGGAATACTATTCAGCCATAAAAAGCAGAAAGTAGATGAATATGGAAGATTTACTGCTGAATGAAGCAAGGCAGGCTATGAAGGAGAGACATTGTATGTCCCCATTTAATACATACCAAGTGTCTGCACTCTATGACTGAAACTGAATGACTAAAGGATATAGAAACACAGTAAATGGTTTTTAATACCAGATACAGTGTGAGAAGAGGGAGGGTGAAGGAGTAGATCTGAGGAAGGACATTTAGAAGAAAAATACAGAGACAAAGCATTAATGGGACAAAGAAATGGGGTATTATCTGTTGAAGATAACTTTATAGTATTAACAACTGGACTGGGGAGAAATGTACACATATTGGAATATTCACTTTGCAAGCTAAGGAACATGATTGAATGTATAAAAGAACTTGAAATTTAAAAAGAAACATTAAAATAAAATAAAACAAAAACCACTGTGTACCTTACAAAGATGTGTAATGATTACGTGTAAATCATAAATCACAATTTTTTTTATTTTCAAAAGCCTTATTTAGCTTCTACTACATGTCAGACTATATGCTCGTGTCTAGGGATGTAAATATTAAAAAGGAGTCTTCCTGTGAAAGAGCTCATTTAAGGTCTAGCAAAGGTGAGAGAAGGAACAGCAAGCATCTACAGGATAGTGGGATAAGTACTTCAAATGAAGTATTTCAAGAGTGCTGTAGAAAAACAGAAATTCCTGCCAAGTGGGATCTGGAAATGCTTCCCCAAGACAGACATCCTGATGTGAGTTTTGAAGTTGAGAAGTTCGCCATGGGTTTCAAAGGGAGAGAATTACTTAAGTCGGAAAGAGCAGGAAAAAAAAAGATTAAAGAATTATTTTATTTTACTTTATATTTATCCATTCATTTATTTTAATTTGACTAGAGAGAGACATAGAGAGAAAAAGAGAGAGAGAGGAAAAGTGAGAAAGCAAGCTGCCAGGTCCGGGACTTGAACCATGGGTCAGCCACATGGGAGTGTCCAAGCACTTTAACCACTGCTCCACCTGCTGGTCCCAGAGCAGGGAAAAATTTAGAGGCTCAGAAGTGAGAAAGACAATGTTGAATTCAAGAAACTGGGACTCATTTTTCCATTGACGGAGTATTTTTGTACAAGGAGGAGTTAGGGAACAGGGTCAAGGAGGTGGCAGGCCAAACATGGAGGGTTTGAGATGGCCTACAAAGAAACTTTGGCTTTATCTTTAGGTAATGGAGAGTCATTGTAGCATTTGACAAAGCAAAGTGAAACTGAATTTTAATATTATGAAAATCACTGTGGCAGAAATAGAGGATGAATTTGGGTAAGAGCCAGCCTGGGAACAGAGATAACCTGAATCAAGACAGAAGCCGGGAGAAGTCGAAGGTGATTTCCAAACTCCTGGCTTCTGAGAATGAGGCAATGATGATTTCATTTACTGAAGTGGAATATGTTTGAGCAGGATTAAGTCTAGTGATTGAGTCTGAATTGAATAAATGCAAGTTTCCTATAGGATATTTAAGTACAGGTGTCCACTAGGACAAGGTTATAGGCATAAGAGAGAAGTGAAAATGAGTATTCTCTGTGTGTAGGTGGCAGGAGAAGCCATGGAAACACTGAATGTGTCATGTGATAGGACATCTACAAGAGATCTCCCAGAGGGACTACAGCAGAAAGATGCTGTCTCTCTAGTCAACTCTAACATCCACTCAGTAGGTTGAAGAAGAAACGCAAAAGCAGGTGAGTAGTCCAGAGTAGGGCTAGACAACCAAGGTTGAAAACTTTCATGGGAGTGACGCTTCCCACTGCTAGCCTAGGGAAAAGGTGCAATTCCTCGCTCTATGTAGGAGATGAGCAATTTTGCTCTGTGGGCTCCCCTGGGGAAGAATAGCAGGAACAGAAGATGCAGTTCCACTATGCGTGTCCTGAATGTTACATGCATCTACGGCCCTGCTTCTTGCTGGTCGGATAGTAAACCAATGTGAAAGCAATCAGATTCATCATCCTTATCCATCTTGAAACTGAGAGAGGTTTCTGTGGTTTTTGTCATCCACTTAATTATCATTTTCATGTGACCGATAGGGAACAGGAGGCTCAGAGGAGTTGAGACTTGATAACTCGCGAAAGTAGTTAAGAGTTAGCACCAGAATTAAATTCGCACTTGGCTTCAAAGCCAGTCATTTTCCACTGGTTCTGATGATGTTCCCTGTTTGTACCCTTTTGTGTCCTTTCAAATTTCTCCAAATGGATCCAAATTAGAGCTGGAGGCTGTTTTTAAAATTTGATCTTGCAGCCCTCACATAAATGGGAATCTCATTTTCAGTGCATATTGAAAAACAACTTATAAAACGCACAGATGCTCTGTGTGTATTCTCTCCTATTTCTTCTGCTGCTGTTTGGAAAACACACACACACAAAAGAATGAGTGAATGAATGAAAACTTCAGTACATTTCAGTGAGGCCTCAGAATAGTGTTAAACGGGACCAGCAGTTGGCGTAATGGCTATGTTGCTGGCTTCCCATGTAGATGACCACAGTTCGAGTCCCAGACCCTGTGGCTAAAACTCACACTGGGCGTGTGTGCATGCATGCCCAAGATCCCGAGAGGAGGAGAGACTGGGTCGTGGCCATCCCCCAGGGGATGATTTCTCGCTTTCTGTTTCTGTCTCTCTCTTTCTTTCTGGCAATTGCACACACCCTAGAGCAAAAATCTCTCCAAAAGAAAAAAAAGAACAGCATTAACCACTGGCACTGATCACATTTTAACTTTAAAGTAATCCAAGAAGAAAAATAAATCAACCCAGATGGGGGTCAGCAGGTGGTGCAGTGATTAAAGCGTTGGACTTCCACATGGTTACTGCAGTTTGAGTCCCAGACCTGGTGGCTTGGAAGTCACACAAGGTGTGTGTGTGTGAGTATGGCCAAAGTCCCAGGAAGAGACGGGATTATGGCATGGCCACCCCCAGGGAGTGATTTCTCACTTTCCCCCTCACTGTCTTGCTTTGTCTCTCTCTCCAGTGAGTGCTGTACCTATAGCAAAACTTTAAATAAAAACTAAATAAAAAACCGAGATGAACATGTATAACATTGTACAAATAATATGTCAATAGAATTTTGATGGCCATGTGACTATCCAAGAGGAAGCCCCAGGAAAACCCTCAAAGACAATTGATTTAAAGACTGACATACGTTATGAATGAAGACCACTATAATCTTGACTACAACATACCGTGAAACTGGGCTGCTGTGTAAGAGTTGATCAGATTGAGGAGGCTATTTTTTGTTTACTCTAGGAGTGTAATTTCTTTTAAAGCTTCAGAATATGTTCCTGGCAATTGAAATTACTATGCTGCTATAAGGAAAAAAAATTAGTTCAAAACTCATTATCAAGTGGCATTTCCACGAGTAGCAAGGGAATATGCTGTTTCCTATCAGACGTTACACCCGGAGTCTGGGTAGGTTTCTTTCCTGAATCTGAGCCTAAAAACTACTTCATTTCCTCACCTTTTCCCCAGTATTTATAAGGATCCAAGTTCCTACAGTGGTCATGAGTCGTCGGCAAACTACTCCTATTCCCCGAGCTGTAAAACTTATTTTAGAAAGCAACTTGTAAATTCAGCAGCTCACTTGAGTTTCTTCCTGTCAACCAGTAGTGGCCAACTATCTCCACTCTCAGGGACAGACAGAGAAAAATGATCACAGCCAAAAAAAATTTTAAGCAAGAATAAATCATTTTTGGCACAATTTTGCTTCCATTTCTCCCCCTCTGGAGGATCATTATAGAATTCAGTACTCTGGACCTGAATTATCAGCTTTGGTTTTCGCTTTAGGGCTGTAATTGTAAGTTACTGAGAGCATTAATTACAGTGTCCTTTGTTCCGCTGGCATCTCTCTTCAGAGAACTCCAAGCAATACTGTTTAATGTTTTATCCCTGGAATCCTCACAGAATCCCTGGAAAGTAGAAATAGCACTATAATTAATCCACTTTTGAAAACATGAAAACGTTTCTATCGTATGCATGATTTTACCCAGTTTAGTAAAATGCTTACATATTTATAACTTCATCAGCCAATGAGAATAATAGTTTGTTCCTGATCTTGATTCAGGCTTTCTGAGGATAGACGTGGTGTGGTTTACGAGATAGACAGTGAACGGATGGATAGGTGGATGGACACACACCACAACATGAGCATGTCTTATCCTTCTGACCATTCATTTTGCCTCTGGCAAAGGTGACTGTAGAAAATGAATGAATGGAGAAATAGAGAGGCGATTATGTACATGGAGGATATATGAATGAAAAGGTGGAGGGCGAGTGAATGGAAGAATGGAGGGGTGGGTGAAAAAATGGATAGATAGCACTGGGGATCCTGACCAAAGATGTCATTTTATGCTACCAGTGTATCTACAATAATTTCAAACGACTTTGAGTAGGAGCTCCAGCAAACAGAAAACCCAGAGAGACAAAAGGAAAACCAGGTTGGGTCAAAAATGAATAGTGTTCACTTTACAAGCTAAGTGACCTATGTGATTGAATGTATGAAAGAAATTGAAATAAAAAAATTTAAAAAAAAAAAGAAAAAAGAAATGAATAGTGCTACCTAGAAGAAACTTCAGGCCAATAAATCATATTTGAGTCATCAAGTTTAGGACTAAACAAAAATGAAGTCCTTGGGGCCAGCAGGTGGTGTTAAGGTGCTGGGCTCCCACATGGCTGCAGTTCAAGTCCCAGACCTGGCAACTTGAAATTCATACCAGGCACATGTACATGCATGCCCAAAATCCCAAAAGGAGAGTGGAGAATGGATTGTAGCATGGCCATTCCCTGGGGGAGAGGGGTGTGTTTTCTCATTTCTGTCTCTCAGTCTCTCTCTGTCTGGCAAGCATACATGGCCTATAGCAAAAATCTCTCTCAAAACAAAAAAAATCAAGTGCTTAGTATTATGCAAGTTCTACAAAGGGATCATAGGTTTACTACGTACTAATAAAGGGAAAACTAAGGGACAAGCCCAAGTAAGGTGACTCTACCCACTCCTTCAGTTCTCTAACCAAACCTAAATAATTCCACCAAGTACCAATTTTATATATTGCAGCTCCACATGAGATTGCACTCAAAAAAGAGATTCTATTTTTGGAAGAGACCCCCCCCCAAAAGTTAATGAATGAATTAGTGAATGAATGAATGAAAACTTTAGCAAATTTTAGTCAGGGCTTAGAATACTATGTATCCCATTTTCACTTGAAAATAACCTGGGGGAGAGAGGTGGGTCAATTCAGGTGAACATATATTAATGTTCTATGAATAATATGCAGATTGGATTTATTAAATAAAATAAAATACCTATAAAATTTAAATAATTTTTAAAACCAATCTCTAAGCTAGGTCAAATAATACCCTGATTATTTCACAGGATTGTTATAAGAATCAAATGATCTATTATAAGTGAGAATGGGCTTTGAAAATCACAAAGAGCATTGTAAGTATAAAGCCTTTCCAAAATTATAAGAAATAAGAAAAGACCTGAGATCTAAGAAAGAGCTAAGTCACCTTAATTGTGCCTTTCTTTTTCTTGTCTTTCTTTCTTATTCATCCATCTAGTACCAAGTCTTTATAGGTTCAATTTATTTTACAAGACCATAATCTTGGTATTTCTTATCCTTCCATCTATTTCTTTTACTTCTAACAAAAACTGAGACTATGAAAATTAGAACAACATAAGGAGAATTTGTTGGCAAATATGAGGTCTGGGGAACAGAACACAGTGTCAGAAAGGAATTTGATTTTAATGTCTGAGAACTATCTTCTATGCAGGGTGGGGCAGGAAGAATCTCTGAATGCATCTTTTATGTCTGAACTACAATGGTCATCCTGCAGCTCTTGCAACCCTTGAAAGTATGTTATGGATCTTTTCAACACAAGGATCACTTTTTTTAATA